TAAAATAAGGTAGTTTTAGTTTCGAAGCCATTCGTAGTTACGAACGCCATAACCGAGGATAGTACGCAGAGAAATGTGACCCGTGACTTCTTACATCGAGAATTTTACGCGCGGTGACCTACTTGGTCGCCAATTTTTCTGAATTTTTGGTAGGTTGCAGCGACAAAGACGGAAACACCTATAACGTATGGCAGAGTTGGAACCCAAATCCTTTGTTCAAATGTACATGTACACCCAATCTAAAAGTCGACTGCCAAAAAACTGAATATGGCTGCTGGGATTCCCATGGAAACGCTTTTGTAGATGGACATGAGTGGCTGAGCAACAGCATGACTAAGTGTACCTGCAGTTATAGAAATATAACTTGTACCAAGCTCTCTCGGCCAGCCTGCACCGATAAAAAAGGCATGGTGCGGGAACATGGTACACACTGGTTTTCAGGAGTCTGTTTCAATTGTTCATGCGTGGATGGTTTGATCGGCTGTGTGAAGTATCACGTGACTATTCATTATGGGTTCTTCCAAGTTGAGACAATTGGAAGATGTATGCCGTGTCATCAGCCAACTAACGATATTTTACCAACAGGGGATGGGACAGTCACTACTTGCCAGGGTAGGTTTCAATAATAAATGAAATGTCGTTGTTAAGGTGAAACACTGCAATGATGACACATGATTGTTTGTGATTATCATCTAGTTACTCTCGATTTGAATCACAGGTTTATATTGAATCTGCTCCATTGCAAATTCGTCCCCTAACGTAAAACAAAATCGCCCCCACCTTAATCAGTTGAACGATGTGGAGCGAAATCGCAGAGATGGTAAAAGGCGAACTTGTAATGGGGAGAAATCACCAGTTATCGAATCAAACATCGGAAATAACTACTTTTCGGCCAAGTTGAGCCAGGTAATTTTTCTCACTAACCTCCCCTGCCGGTAGAGAGAGCGACTCGTTTTGATCAAGCAACGAATGACATTTACACAGTGCAATTATCCATGTTAAAAGCTTCTTCTCTATCCAGTCTTCTTTCAGCTCAAGGCTTTAAAGGAGGTGTTTGGTTGTTCCAGCGGCGACTTCGTAAGGAAAGAACACGTGTGTAATGGAGTCGCCGAGTGTCCTGACGCTTCTGATGAAGCGCAATGCCACGATGGTGAGTTGATGAATCCGGCTTTTTAAAGTAACTGAGCTTTCACTAATCTAACCACA